GGGCACCACTTTCCCCACAGATTCTGTGGGAAGCGGCCAAGCAAAGTCCTCCCTCCCAAAGCAAAGCCTTGGCCTTCACAAAGCACCTGTACTGAGGGGCGATCCTAATGTTCCATTTTCATATTTGACAGTTTTAATGCTGCAAAGTTTTTGGTTATTTTGAGCCAACATGGGGTTCACTCTAACTTCTGCCCGCTGGTTCTTGTCCTCCCCCGTGGGCGGTCTCCGCTTTGCTCTGAACTTACAGAAATCAAACTCGAAGACTTTTTGGTGCTTTCCTCCTACCTGAATGCTTTCAGCTCCTCCTCTACTTCCTAGATGACTCGGTTTCTAGCTCTTCCATCATCCTCAGGATTCATTCGTTTATCTGATAAATACTGACCCCGCACCCACTCTGCGAGGCCTTGCTGGGCAACAGGATGTAACACTGAAAAGGACAGGCTTGATCTGTGTTTGTGAAGCTCATTTAAGGCAAGGGCGTTCTCGAGTTTACTCTTGCTCCTTTTAAAATGTGATACCCATCCTGAATGTAATAAATCCTTCATACAGAGGACCAGTAAACTGTAGAATGGGGCTGTTATGCCCCCTGGGAACTTTCTGCAAGTTGAATTTTGTGTTCAGTGGAAATAGAAAAACACTGGACCTGGGGTCTAATTCTGTCTCTGTTGCTTAAAGACATATGCTTCTTTGAGACTTTGGTTCCCCATCCATAAAATAGGGGTAAAAATAGCCTGTCCATCTCCCTGACTCCCTCTGAAGAAACCATGCATGTGTACTCAGTTTGGAGCAGCCTGGGTGACATCAGATCCCTTTTAGAGTGCTACTCCAAATCACAGGGGTTCTGACATCCCTGCATGAATACATTGACCATTTCATCAAATGTTGGAATAGAGGGACAGGGTAGCGGGCTTTCCCCTTGGCTACAACACTCGGAAGTCAGCAGGTCATGCCCAAAACTGAAGAATCAGGAAGTAGCCATCTCAACATATTATTTAGGAAAATAGAGGTAAAAACCAGGAAAAGGCTATCCAGGGGAGAGTCATTTCCTCTGGGGCAAAAGATAAAAGGCGGGCTTCTTCTCATTACAATAAATACGTATTTATTCCATTTCACTTTTAAACTCTGTGTATGTATCCTTCTGTTAGAGAGAGAGGAGATACTTTTGTACAAAACAGGTCTTCTCTGCTTCTAGAAAGCAAGGCATCCAAAATCGAAGGGCTCTGTGGCCCCCAGGGCAGCCTACCGGAGTGCGGCCGTGGGCGTTACTTTGCAAGCACCCCGCCCCCGAGTCCCGCGTGCCATCTTTAGCCTTCCCAGGGTGGTAGACACACCACCCTGCTCTGTGCCGTTGTGTCCACACGGTGTTGTGTGTGTGTGTGTGTCCAAACCTCCCCTTTTTAGAATGACACCAGTCATAGGGGATTAGGGACCCACCCGACGCTGGCAGGACCTCATTCTAACTCAGCTAACTACACCTGCCAGGAACTTATTTCCAAATGAGGTCACAGTCTTAGGGGTTAAGACCTCAACATTTGAACCGGGTGGGAGGATACAATTCAACCCAGAACGCTGTGATCCGCTGAAACAAACTGGCTGGGCTGCAGGTTCCAGCACCGCTCTCTGTGGACCCCTTCCTACGACACCCCCACTCCCCCATGCTCGCCTTCCTCTGGTCCCGTCCGACTCAGCAAGGGCCCATCTCCCTTTGTCCTTCCCCAAACACACAACACTAAGAGGCACTCTTGCTCCCCCAACAGTGATCCAGTCCTGGCGTTGTCCCACTACGTCATCTGTCCTGATTCCTCTCCCTGATCACTATTTGGCCCGTGGACCCTGAGCCATTCTTTCCTTCCCTCTGATTCAGCCAACTCCTTTCAAAAGTTTCTCCTCAGGTGGATTCAGACCAGGAAGTCCTGAACATCCCCCAGGACAAGAACTTATAAACCAAATCTCAGCAAAAGAGAGGAAACACTTCCATCCCCACGTGACTGAGTGACACCGCCATGAGCACCAACCCTGCCTGGCTGGGCCACTTAGCAACTGAGTGATGCTGGGCCACTTACCTTCCTTTGGCTGCTTCCTTAGCTGGAAACTGATAATAATAACACTAACCTACCTCATAGGGCGAAATGATAAGGAGCAGGTGAAGCCCCTAGTACAGTGCCTCTTGCATGATAGGTACCCAAGAAATACCATTTGTTACTATTTTGCTTATTTTCATGTGTTCCTCTTTTATGCCTTCCTCCATCTTTTCATGTTAGGAGCAAAAGCCTGGTTGGGCTCCACCTCCCACCAGCCTCTGATTAAAGGCATCCAGGCTTCACAGTGCCTCAGTTATCGGTGTTTCTGTGGCTCCTGCCTCCTCCCTGTCCTGTCCTGTGGACAGCCAAGCAATGGGGCAGCTAGCCTGTCCTCCCGGGTCACCCAGGACACATCCATCCCCAGGTCAGACTCCATCGCACTGCCTCACTCAGACCATTCCTAGTCGTTCTCTCAATTTAGGCCTTCAGGAGGACCTCTCCACTCCCAAAACAGCACTTTTAGAACATTTTTTTGTAAAAAACAAAACAAAAAAAAAAAAAACAGAAACAAAAACCAAAACCAAAACCAAAACCAAAAAAACCTACTATTTAAAAAGTTAACAATTCGGTGAATAATGTTGATTTGCTTTGTGAAAGTTTAGGACAAAGCCAAATGACCTTATCCACGTCATTGAAACATACACACACACACACACACACACATTCCATCCCATTCTAAATTCACAGGCATCAAAGCACCCAGCTGAGGTCTGAAGAGATGTTTTTGCTAACGGTCTCCAGCCGGGAAGGAAGGACAGATCAGGTCTGGGAGCAAATCTCTGTGGGAAAACTACAGTACAGTTTGTCTTGGAGCAACTTGTTCTGGAGTCCAACTCCCAGTACCATGTAGAGATAGTTCTGAGCAAGGAAAAACAAAACCCTGAACATTTCTGAAAGAATGCATCAAGGTCTACTGCCTTCGGTCACTGCCGAACTTTCTATAGTGATAGACTGAGCTTTTATGCTTATTATTTGTCATGATGACAGCGATCCAAAAAAAATCAGTAACTTTTCACTGTGTGGTTATGGTGTGGCAGCACTACTGTGCTTTGTGGGATCTGATTCATTTGATCCAGGCAATTAACTTTTAGTGGAACTGGTGCTCAAGAATAAAAGCTCTCCAGTCACCTGGGTGGCTCAGTTGGTCGAGCGTCTGACTCCTGGTTTTGGCTCAGGTCCTGATCTGGTGGGTCAGGGGCTCAAGCCCCATGTCGGTCTCCATGCTCAGTGGAGAGTCTCCTTGTCCCTCTCCCTCTGCTCTTTCCCAGGATCATGCTTCTCTCTATCTCTCAGATAAAGCAATCAATGAATCAATCAAGTCTTAAAAAAAAAAAAAAAAAAAGAAAAGAAGAAAGGAAGGCTCTCAGTGGGATAGTTGTGGGACCCTAAGCCTTCAATTCCTCATCTATAGAGTTGGGGGATAATGCCAGCCAGGGGCAGTGGTTGCAAGGATAGGATGAAATCATGTGGATAGAGCAGGTGAGTCCAAGGTTTTCCACTGTCATTTCAGAGGCATCGAGAATTGAATGATACATTTGAAAAACAGGTACTATATTACTTTTTTTTTTTTTAAGACAGCAGGAAATGGAAAAATTTAAGATTCTAGAGCATTTCAGTCTGCCCTTCAATATGTCCGCCCAGTTGGAGGTGAACTTGGGAGTGGTGTTTGATCTCTTGGGGGGGGGGGGGGTGCCGGCAGTCTCTGCTACGCCTGGCGTCATTCTACATCAAAGGAGACAAGGAATAGTCAGAGGAACCGAAATGCTGCCCACACTTCAAAGGGAGTTCCTCTTCCGGAAGTTGTTAGGGCCTCGCAAGGAGGGTAAACAAGAGTACAGCTCCGGGGACGCATCCGACCGGCTTCCATGCTGGGACCTGGAACTTTCCGGGGTCCAAACAGCACAGCAGAGAACGAAGAGGCCGTTCTGTATAGAGAACGCTGGCTCGGATGCCTTCCTTCTACAGCAGGACATTAACGCAAGCTCCATCTCAGAGTGGTCCGTCCATGACGCCTCGTCCCCTGCAGGCGGTGGCCCCTCTCTTGCTTCCTGCGCACTGGGACAGCTCTGATGCCTGGGCTTCCGCCGGGGGCTGACACATGGGATGGCTGGGTTTCAAAATCACAGCCCGAAATAAAACACTCCCTGTTTTTGAGCGGAGATGGCCGGGATGGGGGAAGTGGGGGGGGGTGTGTGAAGAGGTGCCTAAAATGATCTGCTTTCTCCAGCACAGGTGAGCCCAGCCTGTGAAGTCCCCCTCCCGGGCTTCCCGGGCCCCCGTCCTCCTGCCGTGGGCCCTTGGCTAAGCTGGAGGTGGACGACAGACCCGTCCCCACCCATGTGTGGCCCACTTTTTAGTGACAGAGAGGGTCGGAAATAGGCTGGGAAGTCGTGGGGTATTTCCCGGCGCTCCCCTAATTGGTTAGGGAGGAGGCCAAGCGTCGCTGACCCTCTCACCGGCCCGGGAGTACTCCCTCTGCGCGCTCTGACTCACCCGCCCCACTGCGCGCCCGCGTCCCCCCCCACCCCAGCCAAGACCCTTAAGCATCCCCTTGCCCCCCCCGCCCCCCGCGCGTTCACAGCCTCTCAACACCCTACTCACCCCCCCACCGGCCCCCTCGCACCTCCCAGACCCCTGAGCGCATTCCCGACCCCCCGCGCTGTCCCACCTCTAACCTCCCCGTCGACGCACCCCCGGTTGTCCCCGACCCACCCCCCCGCGGAGCCGGAGCCGGGCGGGGGCCGGATGCGGAGACGTGCCGCACGTGCGCCGCGCGGGGATTGGCAGCGCCAGCCCCGCCCGCGCCCCCGCGCCCCCGCGCGCACGCCGAGCTCCCGCGCCAGGCTCGCCCAGGGAGGTCCCGAGCTGCGGCTGCTGCGGCTGGTCAGGAGGGCGGGGGCTGCGGGGGCTGCGGGGGCGCGCCGGCCGGGCTGCGGGGTTCGCCTCCCCGAGCGGCGGGGGAACAATGACAGCCCGATGGGAAGTGGGAGGGGGCCTGGAGCAGCCTCCGGAAAGCGCCCCTGCCCGCACCGGTGTTCTCGCGCTCGGCGGTGCTAAAACAAGCTTGCTCCGAAGAGCTGTAGATGCTGTTTCTGCCGAGTGAAAATACTTTCTGTAAGTGATAGAAAAATTTTCCACTTTATTCTGTTGTTTGGCTGGGGCCCAGCGCATTTAAGTCCCAGCGTTCTTCGGGAAGGAGCCGGGAGGTTTACTGCACCCTCCGACCTGTGTCGCGGGGAGAACAGTTCAGAAGGAGCCTGAGCATTTTGCCGCAGCTGGCGGGGCTTGGGAAAGTCACAAAGGCACAGCGGGACTGATTCCCCCCTCCCTGTGCAGGGAACCAGAAATGTGTCCATGAAGGGAGTGGTGGTGGCTGGGCTTAGCCCGGGAAGATTCCCCCCAAGGAGGCGGTTTGAGCGGAGGTTGTGGGTTCCCGGCCCAGGACTGGGCAGGACTGAAGAGCAGCCTGGGATGGACTCGTGGAGGGGCAGGAGGGGGAGGAGGGGGAGGAGGGGGAGGAGGAGAAAGCTTCCACGGGCTGCTTGGGGACATGAGGCAGCAAAGGTGCAAGCAGCCCTCAGCGATTCTAGGCTGTGAACCGCACAGGGCCTGACGCTCCTGGTCCCAGCTGCAGCCAGCCAATCAAGCATAGACGCAGGGGACCCCCCCCCCCCCAAAAAAAAAAAAAAAGCCGATGGAAACCTACCGGCCTGCGGAGGAATTGCCGCTGGAAACATTTATGGACGCCGGGCCAAGAGGCTTCTCTTGGGGTTTGCCTTATCCAGAAGCCCAGGACAGGTGTGTATCAAAGGCCGAAATAACCAGGAGCCTGTTACTCATTTTTTAGGATAAGAGCCCCTGCTGCTTGTAAAGACATACAAACGCTGTTATAAAGGGAGAGGGGCCAGAAAAGAAAGGGAGGAGGGCAGAGAGGAAGAAACGTGCTCGCTGACCTGACCATCTTAGAAGCTGGTGAAGGGTTTCCCCACTGTCCTATGCCCCACCTCGTTTCCACTGCTATAAAGGTTAGCGTCTTGCATTGTGTAATGCTTTACATTTTCCAAACTGCTTTCACCTGTGAGATTTGTCTGGCAATCACTCAAACCTATAAGGCAGGTACTCCTACTCATAGGTAACCAGGGGAAGAAGTGACACTCAGATTTGTTCAACCATATCCCCAAAGAGATGCAGCTGTTCGTGATAACGGTGAGTCCAGAGCTCGGGTGACCTGACTGCAAACCCAGGGCTCTTTAAATACATCCAAGGAAGGAAACCAGACCTGCTTTATGATTTCTGGTGCCCAGGGCACACCCAACAATTAAAATGAAATCCAGAAGGATGAGTGTAATTTTTTTTTCTTAGCATCGTTCTTTCAAATTGTCCCCTTGAAACACAGGTTGGCTCTGCTGTTACACACCTGTGTGTGAAGAAGGAATTTGATGGACTGACTCGCTGCCCGGAAAGCGAGTCCTGGAGGTAAGAACAGAATGCCGGGGCCGGAGGGCGAAGATGGGTCACCAACTGTGGCTTTCTTCCTTAGCCATACTTACTGTTAGGCCAGCTCGGGGTCCGGGGCCCTCTGTCTTCTCCCATATCGGTTGCCCACTGGAGAGTTTTTTTTCCAGTCCTGGGCTCTGACTGCACACAATGGTTTACACCCAGGGGGACCTCTGAAGCCTCCAGTCAGCCACTGGTGGTGGTCCCACTGCTGAGAATCAAAGATACCCCCCCTCCCGTGGCCATGACGACATTGTTAAAATGAGTTTTGCTCCTCGAGGACGGACACCTCAGCACTCACTTCTCTCTGCCACAGTCCCAGATGAAGACTCTGACGTGTTCAGCAAAGCGGGTAATCCTCAGTGCTTCCCAAGCCTGAACGGCCATCGCAGTCAGGTTTTTTAAAAAACCTGCCCCGTGGCTCAGTTGTTAAATGTCTGCCTTTGGTTCAGGTCATGATCCTAGGGTCTTGGGATCAAGCCCCACATCAGGCTCCCCGCTCAGCAGGAATCCTGCTTCTCCCTCTCCCACTCCCCCTGCTTATATTCCCTTTCTCACTGTCTCTCTCTGTGTTAAATAAATAAAAATCTTTTAAAAAAATAAAACATTTAAAAAATAATTTTAAAATGCCCATAACTCTCTGGGTTGGGATTCAGGAGGTCTTAGATGTGTGCCATTTTTTGTTTTAAACACTTTGAAGTGATGTAGGTGATGGGGCAGGTTTGGAAAGGTCAAGAGTAGAACGACTTTCATCTGATTGGTGATTACTGGTCAAGCGAGGAACTTGTCCCTGAGATACTCAATATTGCCTCAGAATGGGCAGAATGACAACTTAATTCATAGGAGAGCCCAAAAGGGAACCAAAACTGCTCATGGTAGGAAAATTCTGTGTTGAGTATATGACCTTAGAGGAAAATAGGGCTAGGAACTGAGAATGGGTGGGGATTTATTTTCACTAAAAGGAAATTAAAGAGTCAATACTGTAAATAGAGATAAGGTCAGTGGCTTATACTTACCAGATTTCTCTTGTGATCAATGGGCTGTGTTTGTTTAATTTCCTTACTCTCTAGACATGCCCTGTTCCTATAGTAGCCACGAGTCCTATGTAGGTGCTGAGCACTGGAAATGGGGCTAGTCTAAACTGAAACGTGCTGTCCATGTAACCTGCACACTGGATTTCAAAGACTGGAAAGGTAACAGCTCATCAGCACCTTTAACAGTGATTATATGCTGAAAGAATATTTGGGATCCCCTGAGTTAAATCAAGTACATAATTAAAATTTACCTGTTTCTTATGTGTTTTTAATGTGGCTCCTAGAAAATGTTAAATTACATATACGGCTGAAAACATTCTTGATCTGGGTGATGGAGATACATATGTGTATGTGTGTACATGCTAGAGTTTGCCAAACTGTGACCTTAAGCCTTGGGTACTGTACTGCTGTATGTAAATAAAAATCAGTTAAAATTTAAAAAAAAAAAAAAAAAACAACACCTGGGTGGCTCAGTCAGTTAAGTGTCTGCCTTCTGCTCAGGTCATGATCCCAGGGTCCTGGGATGGAGCCCCACATCTGGTTCCCTGCTCAGTGGGAAGCCTGCTCCTCTTTCTGCCCCCCACTCCTGCTCTGTTCTCTCTTGCTATCTCTCTCTCAAATAAAGAAATGAAATCTTAAAAAAAAAAAAAAAAAAGAACTTCCTCTAATTCTGGGGGAAAAACAAACAAACAAACACCAACAACAAAACCAAACCTTTATGGCAGAGTAGCAGGACCCAGTGCCTCGCTCTGGCCTGGCTTTTTCTGCCTTCCCATCTAGAGGACACAGCTGTCCCTGACGGACGGACGGGGCAGGATTGCTGCTGGTCCCTGAGCTGTCTTTATGCAAACCAGGAAAAGGTGACCCCTTCGGCAGACGCAGCCCAGCCCCCCAGGACCGTGGTGGGAGAGGGGCAAGCACCAGCGTGTGTACAGCAGCTCTGGGGTGGAGCCCTGAGTCCGAGGTCTAAGATGTCAGCTTCTGCTACTATTCCCACAGCTCGGTTGCAAAATCCCATGCGTGTGCTCTGCTTGCTGCTTCGACTCTCTGTTCTCTCACCAGCTCCCAATACCCTCTTGTTCCAGTTTCCAACAAAATGACTGCCATCGGCGTGTATTGAAGTGAAATTCTCCCTCGGTACTTGGAACTGCATCCGAGTGTGACAGAATGGGGCAAAGGGTCAGTGTGTGTTTGGGGAGGGGACTGCTGTCCTGAGTGCTTCCTGCACCTCAAGAGAGACCGTGGGAAACTAGAAGAAGGGCCAGCCAAAGCGCTCAAGGAAATCGGGGAGCTACCATAAAAACCCCGAGCGCTGTGTTGAGGGTTCTTCCATCTGGGAAGACAAAGGCTATGAGGGAGGGACGTTTGTTTGATCATGAATGTTATGGTTACGGTGGTCATGAACTCATTCACCAAATCCTGAACTAGGCCAGGGTGCTCTGCCTAAAGCCTGAGAGAATTACGGGTAGGAAGGATAGAAGAAAATCTGACTTCACTCGGTGGGTGGTAAGCTCAGGGAACTCATTACCCCAAGCAGGAGTCAGGGGGGGACATAAAAACTGGCTGGGAACGTCGTGGGAGACTGCTGCTGACAGCCTCGAATGACTTACAAGAGGCAGGAGGAATGCCTGGGGATATGAGGATGGACTCTCCGAAGTGGTGGCCGGGGGTGTGACTTGCTGTTCTCATGGATTCCCCTCGTATCCCTGGCAGGGCCAGAGTTCTAAGCAGGACAAGACCAAGAGGCACGGCTGCCCCCGACCGCACAGCCTGGGCAGTCTGGACAATTGATTGCCTTGCTCAGGGGTAGAGCGGGCCTCACTGATCAAAGAGTGACTTTCCCAAGTTGTGTTTTTGTATCTATTGCTGGGAATCTGGAGGTCACTGTGACGATGGAATGATGTTTGTGGAAACTTCACGTAGATATCTACTCAGGGGAAACTCACCTGTTGTCATTCCAACTTATTCATTTAATCCTCCTAGCAACCTTGTAATATGAGTGCTATTATTTCCTCATCCCATTTGACAGATGGGAAAACTGAGGCACAAAGAAATGACTTTTTCAAGGTCCCACAGCTAATAAGTGATCCAGGATTCGAACTCGGGCTAACTGACTCTAGAGTATATCCTTTCCCTACGAAACTGGGGTCAAGGCCACTCCTACAATTCCACTGAGGAAGACACCACTCAGCTCCAGTCAGGTGTTGCCATGAAGAAAGGCAGGCACATTGGGACCAGGTACATTTCTTTCAAGAAAAGTCATGAGTCAACACTCTGTTCTGGATCAAACAAACTAGGCTAAATCCAGCCTGAAGTCACCTGGCTCCTGACTTCTGCTCTGTCCACACCACCTCTCCAGGGACATATCCTACAGACAGGATGCTGTTGTCCATGCCCGGGGGCAACCAAGTTATTAGGCATGGGCTCTGAGCAAAGCAGGGGAGACTGGTAAGACAGACTCGTGGGGCTGGGATGCTTCTGTGACTGGGGGATCTGTCCCCAAAGGAAGAGATTTGGTGCCCCTGTCCCTAAGCAATGGCTGATAATCTCTGCTCCTTTGCAGTTCCAGGACCCAGTGAATCCATGAATGCCATCACAGAAAGCAGCATCTAAGGCTTGAATGCAGAGACAGAGGTTTAATGTGTGGGAAGATCGGCTTTGTGGCATATAACTTGAACGTCCATAATACACACATAAAACACACAAAATATGCAAAACCCTGGGCTACACCCTTAGATCTGGCGGGTGCTGAGAAAATGGCAAGGCAGAGGCAGGGCGAGGAGCCCGTGGCATCAGGTGGAGTTTTCATTCAGGGTCACCCTGTAAAGTTGGGCAGGTTGTACACTGCACCTCAAGTACATGGGGAGGACTGGGGGCCTCTTTCTAGTTTGCACAAAGGCACTATTTGCTCACTGAGCACTCCTGAGGCTGTGTGTGCCCAGAGGAAGGACCTTTCCTATTCATATCAAGTCTCCATAGGTACCAGGGGAACCCTGAAGAAATTTGGGGTGCCATTCCACAGCACAGAGCCTGATCCAACACCTCAGAGCAGTGCTCTGAGGTCAATGCCAGGACCGAGCTCAGGGCACCAGGATCTGGAGCCCTCACTCCCCTGTGCCCTGCCCAGTCCCAACCAGCCAGTGCTCCTGGGAGGCAGAAGAGGGAGGGAGGGCAAGGAGGCCAGCAGGCAGGAGGATCTGGTTTAGCTTCCTCATCCCACTCCAGTGAGGAGAGCAAGATCTACCCAGCCCCTGCAAGTAGGAAGTGGGAGAAAAGGCGGCACCTGGGCACCCAACCCTTTATTGCACAAGAGCCCCACCCCTCATAAACGTGGCTGAAACTGTCCTGGATCCTGACCACACAGATTACAGCAGTGACCTGGAGGGAAGCCAGCAGAGGAGGGCGGAGACTTTCTCTCCCCCACAGAACATGCAACACGGTCTCATTCAATCCTCACAATTTCCGTTTTCACTGGTCAGTTCACTGAAACGCATGCTCAAGGGTAAGGAATTAGGTCAAGGTCACATAACTAGGAAGTTGCAAAGTGGGCTTTGAACCTGAAGCAGATGCTATGACCACTGCCCAGGCTCCCCTTTAGGCCTGATGACAGGGAGCCACCCTGTCCCACACCTGCCCCTTCCTGGGGGCAACCCCAGCCCAACTCAGCCACCCTGGTGTGGGGGAGGGGTACAAAACTCCAGTCCCTTGCTCCAGTTTGAGACAATTCTGAAGGGCCATCCTGGTGTCAGAGCTTTTGTTGCAACCTTTGCATGTCCACATCTTCTGCCCAGTCCTCGCCTCACTCTTAGAACTGCTGCTGGGGGACACGCTCCCCTCCAAACTCTCTGCGTGCAAATCTCCCTCTTAGAATTGGCTTTTGGGGCATCCCACCTAAGACCCCTGCACTTCCCACCTTTATGAAATGCTGCCTCCCAAGTTTGCCAGGATAGAAGAATCCAGAATCCAGGTAGAGGGGAAAGGCAAACCAGAGATGAGCGACAGCAGGGAGCCGCCGCCACCCCAGGCTGGACAGACAGAAGGGCGGGGGCAGTGTTACCTGAGCCCAGGGATCACCCAGCAGAAGCAAGATCCACAGGGGGTCCCAGCAGGTCCGACTGGGAGGGAAAAAACCCTCCTGGAGACACTCCGCCCTGAAGCCCTGGACCAGTGGGTGGGTGAGACCCTGGGCTCCTCCCTTCCTTCCTTCTTCAATTTTAGGGATATAGACTACTTAGAAGCACACAGAGTGTACCCCCAGAATTAAACTTGCGCATAGTTAGATAATATTAAAAACCAAAAATTTTAAGTCAGTTCAGGTCCCCTTTGAAAGGGAAGTGCTGCTGTAGAACGATATGCTGGACAAGGGCCCCACAGCACCACCAGCCATCACCACCATCCCCCGCCCCGCCCCACCGCACACCCCTACCATCCCTACCATCTGTTGCTCTGGTGCCTTCTGGATTGCAGTGGAGAGTCCCAAACTGCCCAGGGAGCCAAAGGAGCTTTAGAGCGGGAGGGGCCATCCTGAGGAGGCGGCCCCATAACTTTAGGGGACATCACTCCAGGGGATTAAAGTCGCTTCCTGCTTTTTAATCTCAGCCTGGGAGGAGGTGTATGTGTGCATGCAGTCTCCACCTCTATGGTTCACAGGAGAATGACTGTCTGTGCACATCTGAAAATGGAGAGGATTTGGGGTGCCGGGGTGGCTCAGTTGGTTGAGCATTTGCCTTCGGCTCAGGTCATGATCCCAGGGTCCTGGGATCAAGTCCCGCATCAGGCTCCTTGCTCAGTGGGGAGTCAGCTTCTCCCTCTGCCTGCTGCTCCCCCTGCTTGTGCTTGCTCCCTTGCGCTCTCTCTCTGACAGATAAATGAATAAAATCTTAAAAAAAAAAAAAAAAGACTTTCTTTCCTTTTGCCCTTCTGCCCCATGCTTGCGCGCACACACGGTCTCTAAAATAATAATTAAAATAAATAAATAATGAAATAAAATGGAGAGGAGTCATGGACAGTGATAATAGATAGAATGTGAATATATTTGGTTTGGATCCTCTGGCCTGTCTCCAGGGAAGGAGAACAAGGTCCAGTGGAGAGATGAGGACTGAGCAGCCCAACCCAGCTCCTGGCTCCAAGGAGGCCAGGTCCTGCCCTGGAGACCAGCTGCCATCCGTTTGCTTTTCAGTGGGCTGGGAACCTGGGCTGAAGGCACATCTGCTGTTTATTCTTCCTCCTTATCTTAACGGGCCCCCACCTATCACTCCCTGTCACCCCTCGCCACCCCTGGGGCACTCGCGTGCCTCTTGCTGTCCCGCATAAAAACTCGGGGCGGGGGGTGGGAGGACAAGCTGGGGAGTTAGTGTCCTGGGGGAAGGCTCCCCACTAAACACCATCCCAGGCTCCAGTGGACACTGAGGTCACAGTGGCAAAGGGCGAGAGGAATGAAAGGCCGAAGACTCCTCCTGAGCAGGAAAGCAGGGAACTGGCAGGTTGCTAGGGACAACCTTAGCTCTTAGCTCTAAGAGAAACGTAATCGCATTTAAATTTCAGGTTATACCTAGGCTAATAACTACAACTGGAAATTCCTGTGGGGAGAAGGAAGTGTTCTCTCATGAAGAGATAACAGAGAGTCACTCGCCCTTGAACCCAGAACAGTCAGGTTCGTAGAGGAAGAACCTCACTCAGATGAGGCCCGGGCTGGCCAATAAGGCACCTTTGGGCAGATTAGAAAAAAGGGCCCCTTCCTCCAGGCAGTTACCCCTCTCCCTTCCCAGCAGTCTGGGACAGGAGAAGCAGGACATAATCCTAGCCGCTCTCCCTCCCTCCCCTCCTCTCCCTTCCATTAACCTGGACAGCCTAAGCTCTGGATAGACCCCAGAAGCAGAGAAAACCGCTGGTAGGTGTGAGAAAACCTTGAAAGGCTTTTAACACTAACTTGGTCCAAAGTCCCTGCTCCATTTCATTCCCTGATAAGGCTTCCAGTGGAGTTACAAGAAAGCTTTCTCATGACATTCCAGGCCTGACCTGGGTTATCCTAAATTGTGATTACTAGCAATTTAGAATATAGGAGAAAGGTACCAGATTTCTCCAGGATTTCTTTCTTTAAATTTTGCCTCATGCCTGTCATCTTCAAGCATGATTTTTGGTTTTGTTTTTAACTGTAGATATTATGAAGTTGTTCTTTTTACGTGGGGTTTTATTTTTGTTTTGGTAACAAAATTGGCATGGTGCCAATATGGCATGATGCCTTCAACCTTTATTTTGGGGTCAGAATGATCTAAGTTCCAATTTTTTTTTAAAGATTTAATTTATTTATTCATGAGAGATGGAGAGAGAGGCAGAGGGAGAAGCAGGCTCCCCACTGTGCAGGGAACCCAGTGCAGGACTCAATCCCAGGACCCTGGGACCACAACCTGAGCCGAAGGCAGATGCCCAACCATCTGAGCCACCCAGGTGCCCTGAGTTCCAATTTTAACTTCCCTACTTGCTCGCCGAGTGGCCCTGTGCAGTTTACGTCTCCACACCCCAGTTTGCTCATCTGTAAACTGGGGATAAGTAAAAGTATTTACCATAAAGAATTGGCCCATGGAGTAAATGAGGCCATGCATGGAAAACCCTGGGCGCCGGGCACACAGCACCTAAGAACCATTAGCTACCGCGAAGCTTATGTAAACTGATAAGGAAACGGACACCTTACTTTGGGGTAATTGAGAAAGATGACCATGTTTTCTGTCCCTTGGAGAAATGTCTCATTCTCTGTCTGGGGCCAAGAAAGTAAAACTGGGGCATCAGTTTGTACCAAAAGACTAGGAAGTGTTCAAAAACATGGAAAAGGGGCACCTGGATGGCTCAGTGGGTTAAGCCTCTGCCTTTGGCTCAGGTCATGATCCCAGGGTCCTGGGATAGAGCCCCACATCGGGCTCTCTGCTTAGCAGGGAGCCCTCTTCCCTCTCTCTCTGCCTGCCTTTCTGCCTACTTGTGATCTCTGTCTGTCAAATCAATAAATAAAATCTTAAAAAAAAAACATGGAAGTTATAGAAAGGATTCTTACTGGCAAAATTTGGGATAGTTTGAGCATCAGAATGAATACTACCACTATTGGTAACCCAACATCTTAACTGAGCAATCAAACTGGGCATCACCAGTGTACAACAATTATGCACCTTCTGATGTAACAGAATGTGAGAAATACGATGCCACCTGTGAATTATTCCTGCCAGTATAACTAACACGAATCTAACCAAGCCTCATGACTACACTGCAGTGTACAAGAAAGACCGACATAGAGGAACAAGTCGAGTTATACCAAGAGGAATCAAGAATACAAACTCACGGTGCAGAACACACTGTAAGACAACTGACCTGTGATAAAGGCTCTCTCCTTCGCCAGTCTTTAGTCTGAACATCTTTTGATTAGGCCTTGACCTTGGTCCCCACTCTGTCTTGGGCCTGCCCAGCCAGTCTCAGCAAAGAATCTTGCTAAATCATGCCCCACCCTTGACATCTGGTCCTCCTTGACTTCTGATCAAGGTCCTTACCCCCCAGCTTTGATGTCTAAGCTCTTGACCTGCCTTTCACAAGAGTCATGTCAGGTCAGTGTAGCAAGAATTCCCCTCCCTGTGATGTCTGTCCTTAGTACTTGCCCATCCGCTGACCCCCTCGTCCTGCCTTTTGCCTATGACCCTGATCTCTCTCCCTTGTTATAATAATCTTGAATAAAGTCTTCCTTACAGTTTGGGAATAATTTTGTCTTTAACACCTTTTGAAGTAAAGGTAAATGTCATTTTTTTTAAAAGGTGGGTTACTTTAGAATAAAAGAAGTTAAAAAGACATAACAATCAAATAAATATAAGAAACTGCTGTGATTGGATTCTGACCAAAAAAGAAAAAAAAATCTACAAAAGATCTTTGGAGGACAATTGGATCCTTTTGATTATGGATTGGATATTACATAATTATAAAATTGTTAGCTTTTGTATATGTGATCATGGCAAGGCTGTGCTTTGTCTGAAGGTTCTTGGGGAAGATCCCACCTTACTTCTTCCAGCTCTTGGTGGTTGCTGGCAATCCTTGCTACTCCTTGGCCTAGCACAGCATTAACCCCTATCTCTGCCTCCATAGTCACATGACCTCTCCTGTGTGTCTCTCTGTGACATCACATCTCTCTCTCTTTATAAG